AACCATCATCTTTATATATTTACGCACCGCAAAAAGGACAAAAAATATAGTACATCATAAAGCTTTAAATAGATTAAGTGTATTTTGTTTTTTATAGGATAAGGGTGACAAACGAGCACACAGTCCACCTGATGGTAAGTGGTTGCTGCGGCCCATAGACATCTACATCTATCCTTTGTTACAAATCAAAATGTAGATGCGTTGTCACCCGTGGGGACTAAGATGGAATGCCTCATATGCCTTTTATTACAATACAAAATTTTTATTCACAGTTATACACTGTGAATAAAAATTTTGTATTGTTTTGAGCATACTTTTCACAAATATATGTATGTGATACGAATATTTCACCGGGTCGTCTTATAACCAAATTTATAATTATATTTATTATAATTACAGGATAAGATATTTATTTTTAATAATATAATAATATGAGACACACGAGATATCCAGATCTCAAACTAGGCGGAGCCTGTACTATGGTAACCTGATGACCTGATTTACCCACAGGCTAACTAGGCTAGAGCTTAGGGCGCATGGTGCCGCAAGTATTTTACTTGTTGCTCTTTCTTTATTTTTAGTATCAAACAATGAAGAAGTTTCCATTTTGTTTATTGATAAATTATAAAAACTTGAGTAAAATAAAACAAACATGTGATAATCAATAAAATATCTCTAGAAATGAAAAAACTTATGGGACGCTATCGTGTGACGTCATTTGACCTAGACGACTCAGCTCGTATTCGTCGAGTACGTACATTGTGTAGTGGTTTGCACCGTTCGATTCATATTTTGTTCATTACCCGATGGCGGAAGTATTGTATTGTTCCTATGTGTCAAAGCCATTGAGTTATATGTACTACGTACTAGAGAAGCCATTCCGAACATTGACAATGTTCAGCTGAACTGTACTGCAATCCGTACAAACTAAATATTCCGTAAATTGAAGATTCGTGAATTCCATAAAACAATTATTATTACATTTTATTTAGAAATATCTTTGTTTAGATTTAATTAAGATATTTTATATTAAATTCTTATATTTATTTTATAATATATCTTATTTTATATCTAATTATAGTCTTTGTGCATGCACGACTACTACTCCCGCGCATGAGCGGAGACATAGAGTAGGGCATAACTTTGTTTGGAATGGCTTCTCTAGTACGTAGTACATATAACTCAATGGTCAAAGCACTTTTTTTCGTGTACCAAATAATATAACAACAAGGAAAAAGTGGTGCAAACTAATGAACCGTGATTTAATTGGACTATTAAGTAACTATTAATAATAATTGCCTATTTCTGAATGATATACCTATTGATTCGTAAGTAGGTTCGGAACAAAGAGATTTAAATATATAGGTATACTATCAAATGTCTTTGGTTCGAAACAACTTATTCAGTAAAACTAACTATGTATTTTATGTAAATGTATTTGTTATTTACTTTATATGTATGTAAGTACTTTAAAAATAAATTTACTTACAGGTTGAAAATGAGATAGAATATTTAGTCAAACATCATGTCCTCATAAATTTGATTGTCAAAAGACGGGTGAAACCTCAAAAAGAACGAGGAGCATATGAAAAAAGAAATCATAGTTGGCGGTCGGCGGCTTTCGTGGGCTCGGGAGCATTTACCATGGAGTGATGAACAATGGTCTTTGGTGCTGTTCACCGATAAGTCCCGGTTTGGGTTTCATCCGGATTCGCGAAGACCTCGCGTTTGGAGAACTCCAGGGAGAGATAGCCGTTTACGGCACGCTTAGGAGATTCACTCTTACCAAGGCGGGACAAATGTGGGCAGGAATTCGTACTGGCAGACGAACCCAGCTCGTTTAGTCATAGTCATTTATTCCATTAATAACAAAATATATTGTTTTGGAAATTACAAGTTAATTTAATAAGATTTAAAAAATAACATTATCATATAATAAAATATTAACATCAAATAATAAAATTACAATAAAGAAATATGTCATTTATTTACTTAACTATATTTTATCATCAGTCCAAAATTATTATTTCCTACAATTATAATTTAAACATTCTTCTACACTATAAAAACTATTTTCCAGAAGATAAGACCTCAATCTGTTTTTAAATTGGATCACATTTGTTATGCATTTTAAATCATTTGGCAATTTATTAAATAGTCTGCCCGTTTGATATCTTGCACAATGTTTAATTATCTGTAGGTTAGGCTGTATCAGGTTCGCAATCCCGCCTAAGGGTATTAGTGTTCTGTGTTCGCAATATCTTTTCGTCTAGTGTCATGATGCTTTACCCTTTCTTTTGCGGTTTCATATCTATCTAAATTTTTAACAAGGTCTGTAAAAAGAGTTAGAATGTAAATACATGATGCAGTAAGTATTTTTAGGTTTCGCATGTGTTATCGGCACGACTGTCTTTGGGGTATGAACACCATTGTTTTTATTGCTCTCTTTTGCGTAATAAATGCCTTCTTAAGATTATAATCATAACTATTTCCCCAAAATTTAATGCTGCATCTTAGACGAGATTCTACTAGAGCATAACATACCATTTTTTGCTTCATTGTTAGCTCCTCTCTTAAATTTCGTAAAGCATAACATTAAGATGATATATTTTTTTCTATGAAATTTACTTCTTGTTTCCAATTAAAAAGACAATCTGTGTTTCGGATACATAAATATTTTATAGAATCTACAGTGGATATACATTCATCATTTAATTTTATATCCAAGCTATCTCTTGCTCTTGCAGTAGATTTAAAAAGGATGGCTTTGGTTTTTTCTGGGTTAGGTTTAATGTTATTTACATTAAACCACTGAGCAAAAGCTTCTAAAACGCATTTAACTTTGTTGTTGAGATCAAAAATATTTTATGCACTTATCATTGCATTCGTATCGTCGGCAAATATTACAAGTTCAGTGTCTGGTATAGAGTTGTACATAAATGGAATTAAGTCATTAGTAAAAATTATGAACAGAACGGGTTCTATGATTGAACCTTGGGAAACACCTCTTTTAATTTTATTTAGTTTTGATTAAAATATTTTCTCTTGTTCATTATTTGTATAGTTGATCTCAACGTATTGATATATCTGTTACTCAAGTATGACTTGAAAAGCTCCCAAACCTTTCCTTGTACACCATAATGCTGTAAATTTTTAATTAAAATTTGGTGATCCACCATGTCAAAAGCTGAGCTTAAATCTAGAAAGAGGCTTGCTACCTTTTTCTTCTTATTTAAATTTGTCATAACATCGTCAATTAATACTTCTATTGCGTTATTTGTTCCAATATTAGCCTGATATTCAAATTGTCGTTTATTTAGTATTGTTGCGCGCCACTATTAATGTCTTCTACATGGCAACACTAGTTACCACTAGCGCTCTCTAGTGTCGAGTAGCAGAACTAGGAGTCAAGATTCTTCTAGAAATTTCTGGTCCGATATGTACTCGAACATTCTAGATGTCGCTACAGTAGAAGGTTCTGGAAACTATCTGAGGCCTTATATAAGGCCGGTATAGACCACGACCGGGAGAGTATTGAATTGGCGATATAAGCGAATACTTCGAAGCTATATAACTGCGCACTAAAGTGATAGTAGTACAATTGTGTTTTAATATTAGTGTGGTTTTAAATTGTAATTAGTGTTCCGTAATTAAAGTGTCAATTTTGGTAATTCAATCGACAGTTTTTAATTGTCTCGAACCCCAAGCTCGTAACAGTATGTTGTTTTCATAGAGATGTTTAATTAGTCTTGTCTTTATTAATTTTTCGATTTTTTTTAAAGAATTGGCAGTAAGGAAATAGGTCTCTAGTTGTTCGAGTCTGTTCTGGTCCCTTTTTTATATACAGGCAAAACTTTGGCAATTTTAAGTTGGTCGGGGGATACAATCTGCTCATAACATTCATTGTAAAATCTAGCAAGAGCACTAGCCCATAAGTCAATATTTCTTTTAAAGATTGATATTGGGATGTCGTCCCAGCTACACGATTTTTTGTCCTCCATTTTTCTTACTATTTTAGTAATTTCTGTGGGTGTGATTTGTTTCCAAATCATGACCTTTGAACAAGTATGAATATTCTGTTCAAGAAATTTCATCGAGGAGCTCAAACTACCTGTGGAGGGAGAATTGCCATGATTAAATTTTTCTGAAAAAATATCTACTATTAATTGAGGATGGTCAATGTATAAGTCGTTTTCCTTTAATGTTATTTTATCTTTATTCATACCAGAGACTTGCTTTCTATGTTTGTTTACTGCGCTCCTTATTGCTTTAGCCGAGTTCTTTGATAGCACTATTGTAGACTGAACTGCGTGTTTTTTGGCGGTTCGTATTACCTTTCTTAAAATTCGGACGTAATTATTTTTGTAGTTTACAATATTACTATCGGAAACAGAACAATATGCCGAATTAAGAAAGCGTTTCATTTTGCTAGATGTCTTGATTCCCCTTGTTACCCACTTCAGGGACTGTTTACAAAGTTTGGATCCAAGGCAGCATGACTACACAAAAATACCACGAGGAGGTAGTAGAGCCTTTTATTGCCCCACACAAAATCCAAATGGGCCAGGAATTTCTACTGATGCACGATAAAGCTCCTTCCCCTACGGAGCGGCTGGTGTCGGCCGCTATCCGAGACCACGATATTCAAGTTTTGGATTGGCCTGTACAGTCGCCCGAGATTTCCCGCCAAATTTGACGACGGAACAACTTTACGAACACTTGCAAAGAGTATGGGGACCTCTTACCGCAGCAAGACATTGACAATGTAATTTTAAGTATGAACAATCGATGTCTATATGTAATTAATGTAAAAGGTGGCAACACTGGTTATTAATAATTAGATTTTATAATATTTTTTAAATTTTAATTAAAATCAATAGTTTTATAAGAAGAAATTAAGTTTTTATCATACAAATTTTTACGGCGATTAAAAAAAATTACATTGTGGCGCGCCGATACTTACCTATGTCACCTGATGTCTCGCTATCCCCTCTCGAACGATGCCCCACCTGCGCCACGGGATTACGCCACTCGACCAAACCTTAGACTGCCGGTACAAGCATGCTACCACGCTATCAGAGTCGGAGAGATCTAGATTGGCGAATCTATTAGGTGAGTATTCTGACGTTTTTGATGTTGTCGGTGAACCGACACCATTCGCCGAACACCATATAGATAATACCGGCAACCACCCGCCGATTGCTGCGCCCCCGTATCGGGTCACGCCTGCGAAGAAGGAAATCATGCGCGCCAAGTTAGACAAGACGCTGGCTGATGGTGTGATTGAGGAGTGCGAATCCGCCTGGGCCGCGCCATGTGTCCTGGTACCGAAGGCTAACGGCACCTATAGGTTTTGTGTAGACTATCGCAAACTGAATACGGCAACCAAGACGGACTCTTGTTCAGCCAGACTACTCGAAGCCATTCATCCTTAGGACGGACGCCAGCGATTTTGCCTTAGGCGCAGCTTTACTCCAGGGGGAGTCTCCACAGGATGAACACCCCAATCGAGTACGCGAGCCGCCTCCTCACGTCAGCCGAGAAAAATTATACCACTACGGAGCGGGAGGCGCTAGCAGTTGTTTGGGCCATGGAAAGATTCCGTGGGTATATTGATGGTCACCAGGTAGTGGTCAGAAGTGATCATCAGCCCCTGAAGTGGCTGTTTTCTCTCAAATCGCCTAGTGGTAGGCTTGTTCGTTGGGCTTTAAAGCTGCAATCCTTTGGTCTTCAAATGGAATACACTCCTGGGAAGGCTAATGTGTTAGCCGATACACTTAGCCGTCCAGTCATCGATAGCACTTTGACGGAATGTGGTGTTTGCCCCGTGTCTGTGGCTGTTCCACGTTGGGATGCTACATCAACCCGTGAAGCCCAGCTGGCTGATCCAGAAGTAGCCAAAATCGTTAAGGACTTGGAAAGTTCTGATGAGCTGAGAGTCATCGGTGGTCGGAGAGGAGGTACCTGATAAACCAAGGTGTTTTGTACCGGTACGTTGACGACACCGATACTGAGGAGCCTCAGCTGGTAGTACCTGAGATTTTGCGGGGCAGTTATGTTTGAGTGTCATGACTCGCCAACCGCCGCTCATGGAGGTTCTATTTCCCTGGTACGAGACGCTATATCATCGATTACCTGAAGACCTGCACTGAGTGTCAGCGGTATAAGTCTTCCAACTTGAAACCGACTTGCTCCAGACTCCGGTACCGGCTCAACGATTCGAGGTTATTGCCGTCGATCTCTTTGGATCGTTACCCAAAGGATCTCAGAGTGAAAGGTGGGTTTTGATAGTGGAGGACACTGCTAGTAAGTGGGTCGAACTGTTCGCTCTAACCGAGGCCACAGTCGAAACCTGTGCGAAAACTCTTGTTAGTGAAATCTTTATGAGGTATGGACTTCCTAGGCGGATGATCTCCGATAACGGTGTCCAGTTTGTGGCCGATGTTATGCAGAAGGCCCTGTTTGTTCTAGGTGTGAAACAGAATCTGGTGCCTTTGTATCACCCGGAAGCAAATCCGATAGAACGAAAGAATCGGGACCTTAAAGCTGACCTCGCCATTCTCGTTGAGAGTAACCATAAGCAATGGTCTGAGGTATTGCCTTTCGTCCGATTTGCCTTTAATAGTTCAGTCACTGTTTCTACAGGCACCACTCCGGCTTTCTTGACATTTATACGTGAGCTCCGTTCTCCATTGTCGGTTCAGGCTGATCTACGGGCGGTCATCGAGTCTGAAAACTTAGTCCCTCAGATTACGCCTTACCTTTTGAAGCTTGCTGTCTCTCTCTCTCGGAAGCTAAGGATAACATTGAACATCAACAGAATCTTCGGAAGCTCCAAGCCAATTCCGATCGCCGTGATTCGGATCCTTTAGGAGAAGGTGATCTCGTACTCATGAAGACACAAGTTCTGAGTAAGGCTGTTAAGGGTGGTACTTCTAAATTCATCCCGAAGCAGGATGGTCCGTATGTGATCTCCAAAAAGGTGAGTCCAACTACCTACCTTCTAACTTCGCAGATGACTGGTGAAGTCGTTGATAAGTATCATGTGTCGGATCTGCGTAAATACCATGACAGGGGTGGTAAAGAATGTTCGGAGCCGGTTGCTCCTAAGCGTCGCAGGGGTCGTCCTCGTAAGGATCGCTGCTAGGCGCAACTATTAGTTTGACCAGTCGTGATGTTCCCTCTTGGTCAAAAAGGGGAGTATGTAGCGCGCCGATACTTACCTATGTCACCCGATGTCTCGCTATCCTCTCTGGTACGAGAGGTCTCGCCTGCGCCATGGGATCACCCCACTCGACCAAACCATAGACTGCTGGTACAAGCAGTACGCTAGCCGACTAGCTCCGAGGTATATTTATATTATTGATTGCTCCCGCGCTCGCGCTGCATTTCGCGAGACGCTGTTTATGTGCTTACTTGTCAACAGGTGCTTTTACTGTTACTATTTAAGTTAATAAACTGTGCATTTGGATGATTTGTAATGTTTCATTTATCAACCGTGACCAGTGAACGTTATAACATTTTTATTTAGAACAAAAGTTGTCTGATGAAGTAAAGTTAAAAGTATATATGTTGAAGAAGGAGGGTATAATTGGTTGTCGTTAAAACCACTGTTGCCTGACATGCTGATATTTTATTACAGATCACAAACTTATTTGTACCAATTTTAATTACACAATTCACAAAATGTTTACACAAATATTTGTTTACAGCTTAATTACACAATTCACACAATTATTTGTACATAGATTAATTAGTTCATTCACAATATAATCACTTTACGTTTATTGTTAAGTATTTGACTATGTTTTACTTCACTAGAACACTCACAACGTTTACGCAACACAAGTGCAGTGCACGCCTATTTTATAATGTCGTGTGGCGGGAGAGCGAGCGCATCACGTGATCTGAAGTCATCGCGTCAGGTCTCGTCGCGGTTTACCTCTTGCGCCGATACGGCCATTCTGCAATAGGCGCGTCCCTGCGCCTTACTTCTTGTTTCACTCTGTGGAATAATACGAAATTAAGCTCTCATCCTCGGCTTGACAGTGTCAGTTTCAATAATTCACGTCAGACACATAACAAATATATCACGAAAGACACATAACACATATACCACGTCAGACATAACACATACCACGTAAGACACATAACACATACCACGTAGGACATACCACATAAGAACTCGTTTAGCGAAGTTCACATTAGACCTCACTCAGCGCTAATTTTGGCCTCAGCCTCAGAACCACGGCGTTCATTTTGGCTCCCGTTTACAAAGACAAAGATAGTATTAGACCTCATAGCCTCAGCGCTAATTTTGGCCACAGCCTCAGAACCTCGGCGTTCATTTTGGCTCCCGTTTACAAAGACAAAAATAGTATTAGACCTCACAGCCTCAGCGCTAATTTTGGCTTCAGCCTCAGCACCTCAGGGTTCATTTTGGCTCTCGTTTACAAAAATAAAATTAGTATCTTACTCAACTTTTGTTTACTCGTGCGCCGGAACTGTATATCTGGATCTGGTAATTCACTCCCGGCATCTCCTTCATTTTTTTCAATTTCATTATTCATTGCCGATACGGCCATATTAGTCTGAACATCATCATTTCCGCATAAGTTTTGATTACATACTCACTATCTAGATCGTCCTCTACCATGAATTTGTCGAACTTCATAACGGTCGTGCGGTAATACGTCATATGAATCATCATACTTTTCTACCGACTTCAAAAAGGAGCCGGTACTCAATTCGACTGTATGTTTTTTTTTTATGTTTGTTACCTCATAACTTTTTACTGGGTGAACCGATTTCAATGATTCTTTTTTTTTATTTGAAAGCTGCCGCTTCACATGTGGTCCCATACAAATTTGGTTAAGGTCTGATCAATAGCTTTTGAGTTATTCTTAATAATTTATATTAAAGTCTGTTGTACAAAATTTTTATTTTAAATTATTAGCTTAGTTTTGTGCCTAGAGGTAGGGATTCTTTAAGAAGAACATATTCACCTTTTCTTTAACCTCATCACTTTAGCCTTCCCTGCGTTGTACCGAAGTTGATCTTTCGCAACCCAATCGATCAACCTTTCACAAACTACTTTGTTCTGTGATTCTAGGTCGGTGTGTCTGCCTCGTTTTCTTCATCAATAAGTCGCGATCGTTCAGGAGAAACACATCCTCTTCCTTTTTGTTAGTAAGCATTTCGATTAGTGTTTGGCTACTTTAAAAGTACTTAATGATTTTTGCCAATAAGTCTTCTGAGTATTCTTTTGACTGTCGGGCCATTCTTCATTATTCTTATTACTCTTTCCACTTGGCCATTTCCTCTACTCATACATATAAGTACTACTACCATCGGAGAATATGTTGTCAATTCAATACTCGGTCTCTTGCATGCGGCCAATGTTTCAGCCAAGAAACCGCTTATACGTTGTAATAACCGTGTTTGATTTTAACTCCCGGCATACATATGAGAGACCAAAGGTCGCCAACCCAATTGACATTACAAACGACACGCATTAATTACATGTAACATTGTTAATTCATAAAACGGCCTTTTCTACCGACTTCAAACACGAGGTACTCTATTCGATTGTATGTTTTTTTATATGTGTTACCTTATAACTTCTTTCTGGTAGAACCGATTTCGATTATTCTTTTTTATTTGAAGTGCTTCACATGTGGTCTCATAGAAATTTGATTCAGATCTGACCAATAATTTTTGAGATATTATTAATAATTTAACTTTTCAAAATGCTCCCCCTTTACTAAATTCTGACGATGTATTCATATTCATAGACCATGTGGGTTTTCAGGTAATTAACTACGATATCCCTTAACACGGAGAGCTTTTGAATTTGTTGGCTACAGTATTAAGAAAGCAAAATACAAGGTTTAGAGAATGTGTGTCTGCTGATGAAAGATTGTTGATTACTTTAAGGCAAGTGTATATTAAAATATCTTTTTTTAATTTAAATTGCTTTATTAAATCAAAATATAATAAGTAATTCGAGTATTAATTTTAGACAATTTTGACAGCCCACTAATATTTTTCTTTGACAAAATGAAAACCGCTCATTACAGTTCTTCATATGGCAAATCAAGAGTATTATCGTTATTAGAAGCACTTAAATCGTAGGGCATATGAACCGGTGTAGTAGTGTTAGGAATTTGATGATTTTGTGCTGAATAGTTGTCAGTAAAAGTGAGAAGTGCGTCGTAGTTCTGTGAAGTAGTGGCGACAGACGATATTACAGAGGAACACTTTGCTGCCGAGGATAACGTGACCCTCTAGGTGAAGATGTCAATGTCTCTCTGGATGTAGATGGACATGAATCTCTTGATATAGATGGCAAAGACTCTATAAATGTAGAAGGCGTATACAATTGACTGCCTTGTTTGATTTCATCAATGAGTTGTAAAACTTTTATTTTGAATGA